GCGCCTGGCCGGGCGCACGATTGCGCTCCGACCAAAAGGGGCTACTGCACCGCCGTTAGGTTTTGGCTAACTAGCTCGTTGGCGCTGCGCTTGTAATGTAACACGTGTGTGTGTGTAGGTACAAGCGTAAGCGGTCGGGCCGTGCAGCTGCATCGGCTCGACCGTTTTGAGTTCCCGCCCGCCTCGCCCTGAGGTGTTTAACTTTCGACTATCGTCTCCGGCCGGCGCCCGCCTACTCGGGCGGGGTCCGGTGGGCGCTGAAGTGCGCACCCCGGCCCCGGCACCGGGCGCACGATTGCGCTCCGACCAAAAAGGGGCTACTGCACCGCCGTTAGGTTTTGGCTAACTAGCTCGTTATAGCGCTTCGCTTGTAGTGGTTCCATCTCGTTGCAGAAGATTGCAGGTGTCGTCATGCTGTTCGAGCCGCTCGACGACAATGCTGCAGAACGTTGTAGTACTCGCATGTACAAGAATGAAGCTACGTCGGTGAAAGAACTCAGGATCTTTGAGGATGACGATGTTCACCTCTCCATGGAGCTCTGCAGTGGGGGGTGTCTCACAGACCGTGTCAAAAGTGTGCTCCGGCAAAAAGTAGAGGTGGCTTTGGGAAAGGTTCCTCGTCGGCCTACAGGAAGGGTGTGACGTCGGAAGAGGGTTGTTTTGCTGAGGCGCCGAAGGGACAGCTGCCACAAAGAGAGCTGGTCCTGGCCATGCGAAGCTTTGATGCAGGAATATGGTTATGCTTCCCCTGAAGACAACCGGGTGTTGATTCAGCCACGAAGCTATGATGCAGGTGCCCGTTTATTCAGCGTCGCGTTGACTGAGCACCTGATGTTTTGAGGTCAGATCCTTGCGTCTGTGAACTACTTACACGAGCGACTCTTCAGCATTTTCGTGGACAAGCAAACATTCTACAAACTTGTTCTGACAGACAGGAAGAAGTTAATGCAATACTTCTGCTGTTTTCTGGTTTTCAAGCACATGGGCTGCTACCTTGGTCAAACAAGGCTGAGCATTGTCCACCGAGACCTGAAAGCCGCACTTCGGCTGCACGACCCCACTTGGGCGTAGGCCCTGGACCTTTTCCACGGCAGGAGTCGTCGTAGTAAGACTCCTAATCCGTAAGACGCTCTTGAACGTGGTACGGGTGAGACACAGAGAGAGAAGCCGGTGCCCACCGAAGTTGGACTAGGAATCTGGGAGGAAAGGCACCCAAGATGCGGTCAGCCAGCCGGACATACCGCTGCGCGCGTGCGAGCGCGGGTCTCCCCTCAAAGTTATCTAAGCCCATAAGAAGAAGTGTCGATGACCGCTTTCCACATTGCGGATCTAAGGACAACATCCTCTTGAAGGTGGCACCAACTGAGGTCTTACGCAGGACTTCCAGACTTGCCAGGGTCTTTGCCGAAGGGCTAGACTATGAGCCTATCCAAGCCCATCCTAGGATTTTCAAGC